CTTGGATGATAGAGCGTCCCCCCGCAACGTGCCCGACGTGATTGCGTCACCTCCGAGTTATATGTGCATGCCAGGCACGTCACGCACTTTGGGGGTGGGGTCCCCCCCGCCGACCCAATCCCCGCCGGCGGGGAACGGGCCTCTCAGGCGGGGGGGTTTCCTGCCCCCCAGGGGGACTTGGCAACCCTAAAACCACCTCTGAATGTCTCTTGCCATGAAAACCTCTTGAGGGGGTCACCATAAGCTGACTGCGACTTGAAGGCACTTTCCACCACCCACCCACAACTGTATTTTGAGTGTCCTGCCCAGTGTTCCCTCTAAGATGAGTTAGCGCGAGCTAGCTCACAATTGTTTAGCCTCCGGCTCACCCATTTTTGCCTTAGCTCAGGAAGGAGGGCTCCAGAGCAAACTAATTTATGCAGTAGCCAAATCGCTCGCTCACGACTTTAATGCCAGTTAGCTCATAAAGTAGCATTTTTGCTCACGAGACTCCACAGCTTAGAGGGAGCCTTGGTCCTGTCCTCTTAAGAAGGCCGTGTGAACGTTCAGCTGTTGGATTACTCAATATTCCCCTTAATAAGTGTTTTTACGGGTATTGTTTTCAACAGTGCAATACTGCCCTCACGGACAGGGGGCTTCAGCTTCCGTTTCAAACATGCAAGGTCAGGTTTCTTCCCTAGACTCCTTCCAGAACAACCTCAGCACCCTAAAAGAAGTCACATCTGACTTGCTGTAGGTCTTCTGTTGGGATGTCAGTGGTGGTGGTGGGGAGTAACAGAGGCAGATTAGTATTCTTTTTAGAGATAGTTAAGGCAGCAATTCAACAGGGCTCGTGAACCCCGAAATATCTATTTGTCAAGAGCCTGAATACCAGTGATAGCTGTATTTCTATCACTTCCCCACTCTTGGAAAATTGTCTCCATCCTCTCACACACCAATTCTCCCCATCCCCCCCCCAAAGTTCTTTTAAAAGTATCATGTACCACCCCACCCCCAATAATGCCATGATCTACCAGAAAACAACAGAAGTCAGAAATATGGAAGAGACTGGAGGACCGGAAACAGGAAGATCCTCCCTCTGGGTGAGGCAGAAGGAGAGAAACAACAGTACATGAAGCATCCAAAAGGCCCTGCTGGTAGAAGGGGCACCCCGCCGCAACTCTGCACAATCTAGTGCTCTTTCCGAAGAGTCCTGATACCTGCTGCATTGCGTGTGATCCAAGCATTCAGAGGCGTAGGCCCAATCTGCATCTAGCATTTGCTCCGCTGTTTTACCAAACCCACGCTGGAACAGAAATTCCCCTCTGCCTTGCATGCCACTTTCACTTTGATTGTTGGATTTTATGGCAGTGTCCAGACTGCATGCCGCTTTCCCTTCCTTTGATCTCTCGGTTTTATGGTAGGTCGAATCTGCATTTGCATTTTTAAAATCAGTTTCGTGCTGCTGTGACGCCGTCTTTCTCTATGCTTGTTTGAATGTTGTTTGGAGAAGATTCTTTTAAAGCAGTGCAGAGGTGCAATGACAGTGGAGCCACCACGAAAGGGCAATAAACATATGTGGAGTGCAAAAGTATGCTAGCACTGCTGAGGTGTGAAAACGACACCAAATGTAGACAGCTTTTTTAAAGACGGTGTCAGAAGGCTGGGACACCAGTGGGAAAGACAAATGCAGATACGACCATAGATTTATCGCCGTTATATGGCCATTCAGGGGTGACTTTGCAGACAGTACGGCGTTGGCCCAGAGTAGTTGAATGTGGTTTTGAGCCGCATCTTTTTCTGTTCCAGTGTGGGTTTGGTAAAGGTAAGGTAAAGGTAAAGGTTTCCCTTGCTCGAAAGCCAGTTGAATCCAACTCTAGGGATGCGGTGCTCATCTCCATTTCCAGGCCAAAGAGCCAGCGCTGTCCGAAGATGTTTCCGTGGTCATGTGGCCGGCATGACTAGACGCCAAGGTGCATGGAGCGCTGTTACCTTCCCACCGACGCGGCACCTATTTATCTACTTGCAATTTCTTGCTTTCGAACTGCTAGGTTGGCAGGAGCTGGGGCCAGAGACGGGAGCTCACTCCGTCATGCGGCACACTCGGGTCTCGAACTGCTGAACTACCAAACGTCCAGTCTGCAGTTCAGCGTCTTAACCATTTGATCCACCGCAGCCCCCCGGTTTGGTAGAACAGCGCAGCAAATGCTAGATGCAGATTGGACTACAGACACATAGCGAAACAGTAAATCCTCGATAGCTTTCGGATTCTGTATTGTGCTTTGGCTCCTCCCAACCTATTAACATGAGCAATTTAGTGACTTCTTCTGAAACAAGGGGTGAATGGGTGGGATCCTCTGAGACTGTAAGAAGTAAAAAATGGGGATATAAAACGACGGCTTTAGACATTTTTAGAAAGGCTGGCCGACAGCTGTGCTTGCCACGTTTGGATAGGAATCTGAACACCGGTGTGCAGTCTGAAAAGAAGGGGATACCCCCACCCCAAGTCTAGCCACCTTTGCTCACCTCCGTGGGCAGATAGGAAAGAAACGGGATATCCATCTTCTCGCACTGTGTAGTAAAATCCCTATAAAGAGGGTTAGAAGATCTCTTGGGGTAGTAGATCGTTGGCTCATATTCCTGGAACAGGAACGGAAAGGAAAGAGACAGAAAAATCGCTGTACGATATCCGAGAATTTGTAAAACATTTATATCCTAGATCTCTGTTTACTGCATTCAAGGCAGTTTACAATATAATAAACTAAACTAAACCGATCAAACATCAGAGATAAAGCAACTGACTGAAGCCATAAAAACACATTGCAACCTTGACCTGGTCCATCTGGCCGCAGGGATCCATGCCATAGCAACCTCAAGGCTAGACTACTGCAATGCATTCTACATGGGTCTGCCCTTGAAGACAACTCCAGCTGGAACAGAACGGCACTGCTTATTTACTATCCAGAGCTAGGTGGAGTGTGCGTATTACACCTATGCTCCAGTCACTCTATTAGTTATTGATTAGTTTTCAGACTGAATTCAAGGTTGGGGTTTGGGTTATTACCGTTGGGGGTGTGGTGTGTGGCCTTATGACACACTTCCAGGGATGTCAGGGGGTGTGTCCTTATGACACACTTCCCGTGATGTCAGGGGGTGTGGCATATGCTAATGAGTTATGCTAATGAGTTTTTTTTTTCTACGAAACGACCCCTGAGGTAGAGTGTGCGTCTTACACCTATGCTCCAGTCACTCTATTAGATATTGATTAGTTTTCAGACTAAATTCAAGGTTGGGGTTTGGGTTATTACCTATTAAGTCCTTGATATCTGTAGGCCAGTTTGCTCTAGTGATTAGGAGTTAGGTTAGGAGTTAGTAGTGGTTAGGAGTTAGTGGTGTAGTGGTTAGGTGTAGTCCTTCATATCTGTAGGCCAGCTTGGTGTAGTGGTTAGGAGCATGGACTCTAATTTGGGAGAACCGGGTTTGATTCCCCCCTCTTCCACATGCAGCTGCTGGTGTGACCTTGGGTCAGTCACAAGTTCTCTCAGAGCTGTTCTCTCATGAGCAGTTCTTGAAGGAGCTCTCTCAGACCCATCTACCTCACAGGGTGTCTGTTGTGGGAAGGGGAAAGGAAAAGAGAATGTAAGCTGCTCTGAGACACTTTTGGGTAGTGAAGGGTAGGGTATAAATCCAATCTCCTCCTCCTCCTCTTCTTCTTCTTGGACTGCCTCTTGTGACATACTCCATGGAGGGTGCATCAGTCATCTCAGCCAAAGCCTTCTGAAAATGGGTAATGAGCACCTACATTTCCCTTGTTCAAAAGCCAGTCAAATCTGACTCTAGGGTTGCAGTGCTCATCTCCGTTTCCAAGCCAAAGAGCCAGCGCTGTCCGAAGATGTTTCCGTGGTCATGTGGCCAGCATGACTAAACACCGAGGCGCACGGAACGCTGTTACCTTCCCACCGAAGTGGTCCCTATTTATCTACTTGCAATTTCTTGCTTTCGAACTGCTAGGTTGGCAGGAGCTGGGGCCAGAGACGGGAGCTCACTCCGTCATGCGACACTCGGGTCTCGAACTGCTGAACTACCAACCTTCCAGCCTGCAGTTCAACGTCTTAACCACTGAGCCACCGCAGCTCCTAATGAGCACCTACCCGTACCTAAATGTTCTCTGATGGAATGGCTTGCCTGAGGAGGCAAGGAAGGCTCTGACATTTCTCTTGTTTTGTAGAATACATAACAACAATAATAATAACTGTGCAACCTTAAGCCACGACTAACTCATAGCGACCCCAGGATCATGTTTTTTCCAAGGCGTGAGATGAGCAGAAGTCGCTGCCATTACCCGGCACCCCTAGATGATCTCCCATCCAAGTACTGACCTCTAGCCAACCCTACTTAGCTTCCAAGCCCTGGAGAGAGGGGGCTAAAAAACTAGGCTATTCAGGGCTGCTATTCTGTCTGCAGACTGTGTGTAGACTTATTCAGGAAGGCATTTTTATAAAGGGAATAGGGGTTTAGTTTTAATACCTGCGGGAATTTTGGGCCGCTTTCATTGCACTGTTTATGGTCGGTATGCTTCTGGTTTTACTGCATCATCATTCACCAGTTTTGTACTCTGATTTATTGCATTGTTATATGTCTTATTCTGCTGTTTTCTGCGTCCTCTAGTTTTGTAATCCAGTTTTCATGCGTTCTTGGTATGTATTGTACTATTTTTACTGCATCAGGGTTTTTTTTAACTGCTAGAACTTCTAGCCATTTTGCCAGGCCAGCTCCCTGCATGACTAATACTGTCATTTGTTTTTCACTTGTATCGTTTCTACTTGAATTGGTAATATTTTTTTTTAACTTGGAAACAGCCTCAAGAGGTCTCTGGCATATAAAGTCCCTAATTAAGCTGCATTTTCGGCGTAAATTCCCTAAATAAACTGCATAATCTGCCTTGACTCTCTAAATGAGAAATGCGGACTATAAATAAATGTAACGGGATGAGATCTTAAATTTTAAAAGCAAAAACCTTAAAAGAGCCCCTAAAGTTGCAATTTAAAAACAAGAAGATAGGAAATTTAAGCAGTAGAAAAGAGCGAGGGTCCAGGAGCACCTTAAAGACTCACCAAATTTGTGGCAGGGGATGAGCTTCTGTGAGCCACTGTTCGCTTCAAAGTGAGCAGTGACTCACAAAACCTCATACCCTGCCACAAATTTGGTTAGCCTTTCAGGTGCTGAGCAGTGATTCACGAAAGCCCTATCACAAATTTCTGGTCCAAAGAAAATCACTTTCAAATTCAGTATGGAGCTAATGTAACATAGTAGGAGAGCCAGTTTGGTGTAGCGGTTGGAGCATGGACTCTAATATGGGAGTCTCAGAATGGCTTACAATCCCTTTCCCTTCTCCTCCCCACAACCTGTGAGGTAGGTGGAGCTGAGAGAGCTCTCTCGAAAACTGCCCTTGAGAGAACAGCTCTGAAAGAACTTATGACTGACCCAAGGTCTCACCATAAGAACATAAGGAACGTAAGAGAAGCCATGTTGGATCAGGCCAATGGCCCATCTAGTCCAACACTCTGTCTCACACAGTGGCCAAAACCCAGGGGCCATCAGGAGGCCCACCAGCAGGGTCAGAACTTCAGAAGCCCTCCCGCTGTTGCCCCCCCCCCCCAAGCACCAAGAAGACAGAGCGTCCCTGCTCCAGACAGAGCCTTCTATACCTTGTGGCTAATGGCCACTCATGGACCTCTGCTCCAGATGTTTATGCTTGTAAAGGATGCAGAAGTACAGTGCATGTGGAGGAGTGGGAAATCAAACCCAGTTCTCTCATATTAGAGTCCGGGCTCTTAGCCACTACACCAATCTGGAATCCAGAATATAGAGATCATTCTCTCTGGAGAAAAGGGCAGTTTTAGTGGGTGGACTCTATAATATCATGTCCCTGCTGAGCCCTATCCACTCCCAAACGCTGCCCATCCCAGACTCTGCTCTCAAATATCCAGGAATTTCCCAACCCAGAGCTGGCAACCCTACTTAATACCTCACAGGGTTGTTGTGAGTACATAAAGACAGAAGGGAGAACCTTGAGCTCCTTGGAGGAAGAGCAGCTATAAAACTACATTCAACAGAAAAGCTTGCAGAGGGTTTGAGGATATTTCAGTTGGTGCTTATTAAAGGCTTTAAGCTTGTTGGGCATATATTGGTGAGGGTGGACACCAGGTTTGCTATCCTTCAGACACGAAGGACAAACATCAGCCACCGAGAACTACAACTAGGGATGCCAACTTCCAGATGGGCAAAATCATAGAAACAGCCAGGGAAACATTTTGTATATAATGCAATAGATACTACATTGGTTTATACAAATGGGAATAATTTTTAAAGTGTTTGATTCGTAAATGAATAGAAAATCACCTATTAACTTACACATAAAAGTCTCAATATTTGTAAACAGTTCACAATATATTTCAGAGAATCTTCACAATACATTAGTACATAGCAAAGCTTCCGGCCTGAGTCTTCGTTGCGCTCCTAGACTTCCGCAGAAGTAAATTCTCCTATTCATCATTTTGCACTTAGTGAGTGTTGTCTCTTTTGTTTCCCAAAACTCTTCCCTCTGCTTATCAAAGCTTATGTTCCAAATAGGAAACAACAACCTTCGTATCAGGCTCCAGTCCAGTCTGCTGTACGCTTCAGGGCTATTTTTGGGCAGGAACGCACAGGAACGGAGTTCCGGCTGGCTCCCGAGTTGGCCACGCCCAGCAGGAACTCATTAGCATAATAGGCCACACCCAACAGCAGGAACTCATTAGGATTGGCTACATTAGGGGTGTGTGGCCTAACATGCAAAGGAGTTCCTGCTACCAAAAAAGGCCCTGGGTTTTGACAACAAACAAGGTAAACAGAATAAGAAGCAAAAGGTGGGTGTGGCTGGATGACCACACTTCTGGTAACATGGGGGTGTGGTCTAATGTGCTAATGAGCTGTGCTGTCAGGGTTGTGGCCTAATATGCTAATGAGTTTCTGCTCTTGGGTGTGGCCTATTATGCTAATGAGTTCCTGCTGGGCTTTTTCTACAAAAAGAGCCTGCTAGAATGGTGGGAACCTGGAGAGCCCCAGAATTACAGCTCATGTCCAAACTACAGAGCTCCGTTCCTGAGAACATGGATTCTTTGGGAAGTGGACTTGATGGCACTGTACCCCACTGAGGTCCCTGTCCTCCCCAGGCACAATCCCCAAATCCCCAGGAGTTTTCCATCCGGGAGCTGGCAAACCTTCCCCCAATCTCCTGGCAACCATGGCCGCCCTAAAGGCATTCAGATACTAAGAAATCCATGGGGCAGGGTGGGGGGTTACCTACAAACACACGCAGATGCCGTGCGCACGCCAAGCCGATCGCCCCGTTCTGTTCACAGCCACAGACCACCAATAATGTCGGCTGCTTCTTCGCCAGAGAACGCAGAGGGAAAACCTGCAGAAGGAGAAGTCCGGTCACATGAGAACGCAGGGGGAAAAGCCATGTCACCGAGACACAAAAAGCAACAAAAAAAGTTTTGTTTATTGATTTTGTTAGATTTATATACCACCCTCCACAGATGGGCTCAGGGCAGTGTACAGCAGTTATACACTTAAAAGGTAAAGGTAAAGGTTCCTTTGCTCGAAAGCCAGTCGAGTCCGACTCTAGGGTTGCGGTGCTCATCTCTGTTTCAAAGCCGAAGAGCCAGCGCTGTCCGAAGACGTTTCCGTGGTCATGTGGCCAGTGTGACTAAACTCCAAGGCACATGGAACACTGTTACCTTCCCACCCAAGTGGTACCTATTTATCTACTTCGCAGCTCCTTGTTATACACTTAAAAATACTAAAATAACCATTTACATATAAATATCATAAAATACCATGTAGCCATAAAACGATCAGATGACCAATCTGACTCAGGCCATTAATGGACAATTAACCAGAAAAGTTGGGCCAGAAGAACTAAGGCCAGAGAAGCAGCCCTCAGTCAGAGCAAGAAGCAGCCAGGTAAGTTGCAGAGCTCCCCCGGCCCCCTGGTCCAAAACAGTCCAGTAGCACCTTTAAGACCAAGCTTTATTCAGGTACAAGCTCTCCCTCCTCTGCGAGATCTGTATGTCCCCCCCCCAATAGCTAGCAATCCAAAACAGTCCAGTGGAGCCTGAGCGGTGGGTGTTGCCTTCTGACACACTTCCGGTGATGTCGGGGGGTGTGGCATATGCAAATAAGTTATGCTAATAAGCTCCTGCACCTCTTTTTCTACAAAATGACCCCTGCCTCCGAAGGAGGTCAGTCTGTTAACAACATAGGGATAAAAATGCAATTGATAAAATTCTCGCCCAAAATTTATAAATCAAACATTTATAGAAGTTCAGTGTAGGTGGAGGAAGCCCAAAGTTTGGGATCAGTTTTTATCCTGCTGATCTGTGAAGATCTTGGCATGGCTAAAATGGGAATTTTGATGTGGCCGGTATCAAAGTTTGGTGGGCTCCATCAAACAAAAATTGACTCAGCTGGTATCTACAGCCAATCCAACTGAATGGCAAATGTATCTAATAATATCAGTACCAGGGAAGGGGGTGCCCAGTTATTTCTGTCTGCGATATGCCATTAAAGGAGGCCGATCATCCCTAAATAGACATTAATAATTGAAGGATTAGGCGGCTTATGAACTCGCTGCATCAAGACAAGCTGATGTGTTCAAATAGCCTTTTCTGCTATTTTTAAAGCCCCGCCATTAATTGTGACCAAGGAAGACAATACTGGCATTCCCTGATGGCTTATTGCGCAAATTAGACTTTGCTATTCCAAGATGGCCGTCCCAACGTGCCAAACACCTGTTGTTAGGATTCACAGCAGTTAAGACCCTCTGTTCTCGAAAAGGGGGCCCAGAAAGTCAGTCAAAGGGCAACCAATGCCAAATAGCCAGGCCACACTCTCTATCCCAAAGCCCCTTGCAAAACCTCCCACTTCCTGTCTAGGCTTTGCCTAAGGTTGCCAGCTTCCAGGTGGGGTCCAGAGATCTCCGGGAATTACAACTGTCCTCCAGACCGCAGAAGAGATCAGTTCCCTTGGAGAAAATGGCTGCTTTGGAGGGTGGACGGTATGTTGTTCTGCCCCACTGAGGTCCCTCCCCAGGCCAGATTTCACCATATCTGTGCTTTGCCCCCCCCCCGCCTCCTGGCATTTTCCAACCCAGAGTTGGCAACCTTCAATCCACCCCTTCTTGAATGCAGTGTGCAAAAATAAACCATTCTTCCAATGTTTTATGCTCATTCAAACGTTTTCAAAGAACGGTTTCAAAGTTCTGTAATTTTAGGGGGAGGGGGAGAAATGGCAGGATTCTACCCAACCCCAGTATGACTACAGAGTAGGGATGTGTATTCAGTTCATCTGAACCGAATGCACCCCCGAAAATGGCCCATTCGGGCCCCTTTCGGGCTGCTGCGGGCCAATTCAAATTCTCTTATCTGAATCGGCTTGCCGCTGAATTGCAGCCGAATTTCGGCAGCAATGCAACCCCATTATATCCTATGGGCCATTGAAGTCAATGGCGAAAACATAGGGTATATTCTGGGGGGTCGAGGGGAGGGGGTTTGAGGGAGAGGCTCCAAACTCACAGGGTAGCTCCAAACTCGCAGGTTCCCACCATAGAGAACAATGGAGGGGATGGGGGCAACCTGTTTGGGGGCCCGTAGAACTGGACCCCCTGGTTCAATGTTCTTGAAACTTGGTGGGTATCTTGGGGAGAGGCTCCAGCCCATAGGATATAATGCGTCTGAAACTGACATTCGGCTAGCCGAATAGCTCCTACTGCCGAAATTGACATGTGGGAGTCTTTCTGCCGGCCGCAATTGATTCTGTTTGATTCGGCCGAATTTATTATTTTTTTGCACACCCCTACTACAGAGCTCTAGAAGTAGATAAGTACCTTCAGAAATCACAAGGACCTTTTAAAGTGCAGGAAAGTTTCCACGCAGTAGCAAATCAATCCTCCTGCATGAATGCTTGCCTAACAGGAGGGGACACTGCCTCACAGAAGGGGAGTCCATATACAAAGAAAAGAGAGCCTCCCGAGATTAAAATTCCTGGTCTATTAAAATAACTGACAGGGCAGAAATTAGGGTTGCCAGGCACCCCCAGTTATCAGCAGGGGATTAGGGCGTAGGGTTGCCAAATCCACAGTGGGAAACTCCTCTAGATCTGGGGACGGAGCCTGGGGAGGCCAGGGACCTCCGTGGGGTACAAGGCCATATAGAGCCCACCCTCCAAAGCAGCCATTCTCTCCAGGGGAACTGATCTCTGTAGTCTGGAGATGAGCTCTAATTCCGGGGGATCCCCAAGTCCCACTGGAGGATGGCACTAAAGGACGCTCAGCAACCCCATTTGGGCATTTCCAGAAAAACTGGGAAGTGGGGTGGAGAAGGAACACATTCTCATCTCTCCCACGTAACTGCACAGTGCCGGACTTGAAACTCGGCATTTCCTTCGCAGCCTGGGGTCACGTTCCTGCAGAGCGGCCCGGCCCAGCCTGCAGGCAATTAAAACCCGGATGGAGTCATTAAGCCAGGGCCGTGGCTATCCAAAACTAACAGGCCTAGGAAAAAGGGCCGGCTGGCACACGCCAGGCCCTCTGTTTAGCATCCAGAGGAAACCACCGACAGGCGCTACCGTTCCAGAAGCACACGGATGGCTTTGCGAGAGGCCGACGGGCGGCTACCACATTCCAGAGGCGGAGGTGTTGCCAAAAGTGGTCTGACCGTTGCACTCGGCTTGGGCTGAAGGGGGGGGGCAACATGGCCTCCTTAAACGGCAGAAGCAAGGAGAGACAGCCCCCCCCCCCCGACTAGGGCTGCCAACTCCATATTGGGAACTTCCTGGAGATTTGAGGGTGGAGTGTGGGGAGGGCAGGGTTTGGACAGGGGGGACGGAGCTCAGTGGGCAGGGATGCCAGCCTCCAGGTGGGACCTGGGGATCCCCTGGAATTCCAGCTCACCTCCAAACTACAGAGATCAGTTCCCCTGGAGAAAATGGATGCTTTGGAGGATGGACTCTGTGGTCTTGTACCCCACGGAGGTCCCTGTCCTCCCCAGGCTCCACCCCCAAATCTCCAGAAGTTTCCCAACCTGGATCTGGCAACCCCAACCCCTCGTCCCCCACCGGAGGCCAGGGGGTACCTGCCAACACCGGCCATTTTCTCCAGGGGAGCTGATCTCTGTTGCTTGGAGATCAGTTGTAATTTTGGGGGGGCAGTGGTTAAGATGCTGAACTGCAGGCTGGAAGGTCGGTAGTTCAGCAGTTCGAGACCCGAGTGTCGCATGACGGAGGGAGCTCCCGTCTCTGGCCCCAGCTCCTGCCAACCTAGCGGTTCGAAAGCAAGAAATTGCAAGTAGATAAATAGGTACCGCTTCGGTGGGAAGGGAACAGCGTTCCGTGCACCTTGGTGTTTAGTCATGCCGGCCACATGACTACGGAAACGTCTTCGGACAGCACTGGCTCTTCGGCTTTGAAACAGAGATGAGCACCACGACCCTGGAGTCGGATTCGGCTGGCTTTCGAGCAAGGGAAACCTTTTAGTCCCCAGGCCACACCTGGAAGGTGGCAATTCTACCCCAAATGGTAGATATGGAGCGCCATTAAGGGGACCAAAAGGGTGGCAGTGTGCAGGAGGGGAGAAAAGCCCTCAAGATAGGCATGGTCTCCCCCCGCCCCCATTAAGACTCTGAATGCTTATCTGATTCACAACAGTCAGAAATGCAACGGGTATAGTTTTCTCCAGCCTGGAGATGGCAAGCTTGCTCCTTGATTCCCCCACTCACCGTCCCGGGAGATCCACTTGATCACCCCACGACCCCCCGAGCTGCTGCAGACTCACCTTGGCCACCGCCATGGCACAGGCGTGACCCCAGATCTCGATCAGCTGTTGCTGTCCAAATCGGAATTCTTCCAGGAGCTCCTTCTCGATGGCCTCTGCCTCTTCTCTGCTGCAAGACATTTGGGGGGGGGGGAGAAGCGTGATCCCAAAATGTCACTGGGATTAGAAAATTCATGGGGTCTATATTTATTTATTTATCACATTACATTATGAATGATGTTTATTTACGGTCAAAGACCGTTTGTCAAAATAATACATATTTGTTAAATACGAACAGATTAGCTTTCAGTCCAAAAATATGTATTTAGACATATAACCCCAAAACCATTAAAATGTTTAAAAAAATAAAAAGTTTAACAGTGCATTATATCAGAATAACTATAACTACACTTATTAATTGCCTAATTCCCGCAAACACAGGGCTCTAGGCGATGTAAAGGTAAAGGTTCCCTTGCTCGAAAGCCAGTCGAATCCGACTCTAGGGTTGCGGTGCTCATCTCCGTTTCCAAGCCGAAGAGCCAACGCTGTCCGAAGACGTTTCCGTGGTCATGTGGCTGGCATGACTAAACACCAAGGCGCACGGGAACGCTGTTACCTTCCCACCGAAGCGGTACCTATTTATCTACTTGCAATTTCTTGCTTTTGAACTGCTAGGTTGGCAGGAGCTGGAACTACCAGAGACGGGAGCTCACTCCGTCATGCGACACCCGGGTCTCGAACTGCTGAACTACCGACCTTCCACAGCCTGCAGTTCAGCATCTTAACCACTTGAGCCACCGCAGCTCCTAGGCGATGTACAACACTCTAAAACCGTAAAAACAGATAAAAATCATATCCAGCATGATACAGTAAGATAATTATACAATAATTAAAGGCAAGTGGCAAAAAAAAATCTTGCAGTTCCCTCCCGTCTGGTTTGGGTTGGTCCCACTGGGGGGGGGGGAGTAGGCTCCGCAAGGAATTGGGGTCCAGGAAGGGTGCTGGCCAAGAAGGAAACCATCGCTGCCCTCAACCAAACGCCTGGCAGAACATCTCCACCTTACAAGCCCTGCAGAATTACATAAGATCCCGCAGGGCCCTGAGGTCATTCGCCAGAGAGTTCCACCAGGTCGGAGCCAGGACCGAAAAGTCCCCGGCCTTGGTCGAGGACAGCCGGATATCTCTAGGGCCGCGGACCACCAGCAAGTTGTTATGTGAAGAGTGTAATGCTCTCCCAGGGGTGTAACGGAGGTGACAGCCACTTTGGGTAACCTATGCTTCCATGTGCAGAGGCATTCAACCTTTAATGCCAAAAGAACGAGTTGGTCATTATCCTCACCACCAGTGTTCCCTCTAAGCTGAGTTAGTGTGAGCCAGCTCACAGTTTTTTAGCCTCCGGCTCACAGATTTTTGTCTTAGCTCAGGAAGGAGGGCCTCCAGAGCAACCAAATCGCTCGCTCACGACTTTAATGCCAGGAGCCCACCAAGTAGAATTTTTGCTCACAGGACTCCACAGCTTAGAGGGAGCCTTGCTCACCACCCAGCTTGTAAGTATCTTGAGGCAAAATGGAAATGTCTATATAAATCCATGGCGCAGAGGTCCTCCATGTACTGCTCATGGGAAACGTGATGCCTGCCGACACCTTTCCCAGTGCCTGCCAAGTGTTTTTAGACAGTGGGAAGAGCCAGTGAGGCTTCTGATTGGCTGTGGAGTTTTTTTTAAATGTTGCTTCAGCGGCAGCAGCCCCCTACAGCGCAAGGATCTTCCTTGTGTGGCTGAAGGTAAGCTGGGGCTGGCTCTGCTTTCTGCGGCAGCCATTTTGTGGCTGCACCCACCACACTGTATCAGAAGAATTAGAAGGCTGCCCACAGTAGGGGTGTGCAAAAAAATAATAATTAGGCGGATTCAGATTCCACCGAATCAGGCAGAATCAATTTCGGCTGGCAGTAAGACTCCCGCATGTCAGTTTCGTCAGTACCAGCCAAATGTCAATTTCAGCCCCATTATATCCTTAGGGCCATTGAAGTCAATGGCAAAACCGTAGGGTATATTCTGGGAGCTGGAGGAGAGATGGTTTGCGGAAGAGGCCCCAAATGCTCAGGGTAGCTGCTGGAGCCTCTCCTCAAGACACCCACCACGTCTCAAGAACATTGAACCAGGGGGACCAATTCTATGGGCCCCCAAACAGGTTCCCCCATCCCCTCCATTGTTCTCTATGGTGGGAAAGAAAGTTACTTTTTCCCATGGTGCTGTTAGTGGCTCTGGGGGGGAGGCGGTTTGAGGGAGAGGCTCCAAGTTTTCAGGGTAGCTTCGGGAGCCTCTCCCCACATAAACCCCCATGTACCAAAGCAATTGGACCAGTGGGCCCAATTCTATGGGCACCCAAACAGGTTTGCCCCCATTACCTCCATTGTTTCCAATGGGGAAACCCAGCCAGCAGCACTTAAGGCAGGCAAGCAGGCAACACCCAGCAGTCAGACTCTCCCAGAGAATCTCAGGGAAAGTGAACTGTCTTGGGAGGTGCTTGTTTGCCATGACAACAAGTGGCACACTCGAGAACAAGTGGCACTGTGGCAGTGCAAGCATGCCACAGTGCCCCACAGAAACCCCAAAAGACCAACAGGAACAACATTTATACAGGTCCTGTCCTGTGTAAATTGATGGTGCAACCAGAAGTCCAGGGATGTAAAAGGTCAGGCCAGGGTAGAGTTGGGTAGAGTTGACTCTCTCTCCCCCCCCTCCCAAGCAAGGAAGTTGGTGTGCAAAGCAACACCACCAACCTTGCAGGCTGCACATGCATGCAGAAATTGGCTGAAACTGGCCTCCCCTCCCCCGGTGGTCTTTGGCTCTTCGTCTTGGAAACGGAGATGAGCACCGCACCCCTAGAGTCAGATTTGACTGGCTTTCAAGCAAGGGAAACCTTTACCTAACAGAATCTTAATTATCTCCTCTTGGGCGTGGACAGGTTTAATTTGCACAGGAGAGAATTGCCAGTTACTTCGGATATACAAATCTGCCCTTTGTCTTCTCACTGTGAGTCTCAATTGTGTGTGTGTGTGTTTTAACCCTGTCCTTCCTTCCAAGGTGTCCTAGGGTTCGCCTACGTGATTCTCCCCTCCTTCTTTTCAACCTAACAGCGTCCCACCGGGTGCCTGCTTGCTCAGGGAGAGACTGATACATCAAGGGAGAGTTGTCGCCTCCCGCTCTGCCTTATGAACTAGTTTGTTAATGGCAAGCAGGAGCTGTAGGACTGGCTTATTTTGCGTATCCGTGAAATGTCTTGGGTTTTTTGGTGTGTGTCATTATTTTATTTATTTATTTATTTATACCTTCGGCTTATATACCGCCCTGACCCCGAAGGGTCTCTGGGCGGTTTACATAGTAAATCTAACCACATTCACCTAGCTAGGGCCACATTGTTTCTGGGGTAGTGTCTGCCTACCAGCACCCAGGCTAGTTGTTCTCCAGCTTCCTTTCCGTGGCTTCGGGTATCGGCGTCCTGGTGCCCTTCTGGAGCCGGTCTTTCCTTTCGAGTGGCTTCCTCTGGTAGGACTCGTTTGGTGCGTGGCTCCGTGTTGGCTGTAGCTCCGGCTACTGTCCTAGATGGCTCCGCCGTGCTTGCGCCGCACGTCACCACGCTCTCCAGCCTCCGCCTTTTTTTTTCCGGGCTCTGCCTCCGACGTTGCTCTGCTGGGTCACCAGGAACTGAACTGCCACCATCGCCACTCTGCCGCCATCGCTGCCGCTGATGCCTTCACCTCGCAAGGAGGAGGGTGCCCCCCGCCACCTAGGGCAGGTACCCAGTTTATCTACTTGCCATTTTAGTGCTTTCGAACCGCTGGGTGGGCGGGAGCTGGGACTAGGGCTGGGAGCTCACTCCGGCCGCGGTGGGTCTCGAACAGCCATACTGAGTGTTCGTTGATGTTACTTGCAGGTGTTCTTACTGCCTGCGCCACCGGTCCCTTATGTGTGTTTTGTACATTATATGGGACTCTCGGCCACTGTAAATAACCTATAGGGAAGTAGGGGTGTGTTTTGGGTGGCAGTTTCTCGGGGAATATAAGCCGGCCTGCGAGCTGGCCAAAGTTGTCTTGTTCTGGATAGAATAAAGTACGTTTTGTTGAAATAACTCCGTTTGCGTACTTTTCAATGTGTTAATTTAACGGGGAGGAGGGTTAATGCAATGGGGGGGGAGGAAATGCAATTATAAATGCTTCCGTTCACACAAGAGAGCAACAAAACCAAATGGGAAATCTTCCAAGCCAAAATGGTGAGCCACACAATTCGGTAGCGTCTTCCTTCTCAGCTGCAGGAGAGAGAGAGAGAGAGCGCTGCCTGTGGAGGCCGTTTCTAACCTTCAGCAGTGTTGAAAAATGGGATGCCTGCGGTGAAAACGCCTGACCTCGATTTCTCCCTGGCTTCTCCACCCACCCACCTGTAGCAGCGGCCTCTCGGGATGGCTCCATTCATCTCGCTCCGCTGGCAAATCAAAAGTTTGGAGTCCACGGAAGCCGTCAAGGCTTGGCGGGGTTAAAGTCTGGTCAGACGGCTCCGGGACAGAAAGGCCTCTTATCTCTGCCCCTCTTGCCTTTTCCTTTTCAAACATAGGTGGGCAACGTAACAGACTGGAATCTGTTATGTAAACCGAAACAATGCCCCAGTTGTTTCACGCTCCCCTCGGGTCTCCAAACACTCTGGCAGCAGATGGAGACGCTGGGAAGAAAAATGTGGACCGTAATCGTTAACAGCTGTTCGCCGGGATCCGCAAATGGCAAAACAATTCACATTTCGGACCAGCCTGTCGTTTTATGACCCCAAAGTGGAAGTGGGCGTCTGTGTATGCAACCGATTCCTGGGAGGGAAATATCAGTCAGGGTAGTAGGCTAAGAAGGCAGGAATACGTGAATGCAACATACTCATTTGAACCGTTTTCACTCTTGCTTGGCTATCGAGAACGCATTCAAGATAGATTCAAATCCAGTAGCAGCTTAGAGGCCAGCAAGATTTCTGGGGTATACGTTTTGAGAATCAAAGTCCTTTCATCAGATATGAGTCAGAATGGAGATCCCCGAGTCCTTTATCTAGGGATGCCAGCCTCCAGGTGGGACCTGGGGATCCCCCGGAATAAC